AAAAAAAAACACGATATCGTGTCATGTCGTGTTCGTGTCACACAAAACCTTGTCGTGTCGTGTCGTGTCAGACAAAAACACGACACGGCTGCCCGATTTGACAACCCTAAAGCAAACACACGTGATCAACCCAAGACAACTATTCCGAAATAAATCTTATTTGATACGTTATGAGGAATAAAGACAATTCGTTTTATTAATGATATGTTTATCATGTTATAACATTTATATTTTGTCAGTACAACAATATTTAATTTTAGTACATTTTTTCATACATGAATCGAAGGTTGCGGTGCACGGGCTATCTTCATAACCACAACAATAGTAAGCCAAAGTTCCAACTCCGCTACAACTAATATGGCACTTTCTCACAATCCCAATACTTTTGATGTCACTTATTATAACTTCATTACCTGTAAATAAAATTAATAAATAAAAATAGAGGGTCCGTTATCCGTATAAATAAATGGGATATGTGAAAAGTAAATGAATGATAGGAAGTTACATTGATGGCAAACAAATAGTACCAGAAAGCTTATAAAAAAGACCATCATTTGAGATTCGAAAAGCTTGGTCATTATGTTGAGTATTTTCTAAGGTTAGTTTACCTTTTTTGTATTTCAAAAGAATTAAATGAACAACAAATGATACAAAGCTTTTATTTATATGCACATTTGAGACCATAAAGTAGTTATTTATTATTTCCTTCTAATATAGCCAAGTTGATTTTGATAAATTCAAAATATAATTTAATTAACTCAATGTATGTTCCATCTATATTAAACATTCTCGTTCAAAAAACATATATAAGTATATGACTAATAAAATGAAATTTTCCATTAAAGTCTCAATATTTTGGATCATTTTATGGTTTAGTCTCAAATTTTTTTTAAAAGGATAGCTTATCGGTTAAAATTTCAAAATAACCCTTTTTGGCAAGTTTTAGAGATTTAGCTAGTATCCTATATTTTTTTCGTTAATTTTATCAAAATATTGAGATTTTTCTGAAGATTTGCATATGGCTTGAGTTAACGTATATTATTATTTAATCAACAAATAGGTCCCTGAATTAATGTATACTACAAAAAGGGCAAAAAGACCCGGTTAAAAAGCCTAATTGAACCCGGTTTTGCATCCGGGTTTGTTGTGGTAAGGTTATATTTGAAATGACATATAGAACTCGGTTTTCTACCGGGTCATATTTGTAATATAAAGCCCGGTTTCCATACATAGAACAACGTCTTTTACCGAGCCAAATTCAATCTTCCACCAACATATTACCCGGTTCTATAATAATAAACAACCAGGTCCTTTACCCTTTTCAAAAAAAATTTAATACGCAATCAATAATCATATTTCCATTCATGTGGCACCCTAAGCATCCAAATGTTGTTAACATAAAATCAAATTAACTTTGCCAACATACACACATGAAAGAGCAAGCAAATATTAGGTACATTAAGATAAAAGAAATATTAAATTGACTAGTTGCTCGTCATTAGTTTTTGAAAAACCAGTGTTATGATCGAGCAATGTCTCACCATGACGTGACCAACACGTATAATTACTCATAAACCCATGAGTTATCAAATGTTCTTCTATTTTTGTAGAGTCGGTATACATACGAATATTTTGACAATCGATACAAGGACACCATATGTAACCTTCTCTCCTTTTCACCCGATTTTCCTCGGCAACTTTTAGAAAATCGCCTACACATGCGAAGTATCTAATGTCTGAACGTATCATCCCGTACATCCAATAACTACGATCCATTTATTATTCATAATATACATATATATTAACAGAATGACTATATGCGACAATTTACTTAAAAAGCAATCTTAAAATGAGGAATCTCGAAAATTAAACTCTATTAGATTAATTTCGGATACGTATGCACTGATATGTGCGTTTTATTTGATTATTTTTATAGTTTCTTTTAGCATATTTTATTTCATTTTTAATTAGTCATCATGCATATTCTTGTTTTATTTATTTTTATCCTTTTAATTATAGTTTATTACAGCTTACGCGACATGTGTAAGTTATCAAGGACAAATTTGTCTTTTTTACATTTGGCATGGTTTTTGGGATGTTACGATTATTGGATCCAAAGTTTGAAGGAATTTCTTTGCTCCTTTGAAGGTGTTTGAAGCTTGACGAGCACTTGAAGATTGCAATTTTTCTTTTATCTTTTTTTCTTGGAATGTTTGGTATTTATAAACTTTTTTTTTATTTTGTTTAAACTTAGCCATGTCAGGCTATATTAATCTTGGTTGGTATTGGTCGTAATCTTTGGATATTTGGTTTATTTTGAAGAACTCCAAGAACTTGTGTTGAATATTTATGAAAATACTTTATATTTCAACATCTTATCTACCCATATATCTTTATTGATGAGTTTAGGTGTGTGTTTAGTGACTAGTTGGCTAATTTATTGATTAAGTAGTGGATTGTAACATCCGGATTCTTGGAGGTACTTAAATTAATGTATTTTGGATATTAGGCAGTACCACGTCGCGATGAAGGCATCACACGACGTGGTGATGAGCATTGTGTCGGGGATTTTAAATGGTCATCACAGTGTGGCAACCTATAGACAACGTGGCAGCTGTTTAATGGGAAACCCTAATTTTCGGGGTTTGCGCATTATTAAGGGAATGTGATGGATATGATTTGCTCACCATCAGCCTCCATCACACTCTCTCATCCTCCAAGCAAACCCTAACCTCTATTGTTGCTCTCTAAGCTTTTTGTGTTGATTTGTGGGGATTTCAAGAAGAAGGAGTTGACTTCTAGACTTGGATTCAACAAGAAACTCTTCTCATCATCTTATTGTGCACCTTTTGGACTCTTGTGAGTACCCAAGTTCCAATTTTTTTAATTATATGTGATAGATCTTGTATTTTGTTCCATTTTCTTTGTGATCTTCTAATATGGGATGAAGAGATTTCATAAAGGATGCAACTTTATGAATCTCTAGATCATTTGGGGTAGTTAATGTTTTGGATATGAAGTTTGATGTTTGGTTTGTTCCATGCAAAATATTTGGTCATAAAATCCCATTTTTGACCTAAGTTGAGTCCAAGACTTGCATTAGACATGCAAGTGTATAAAGCATCAATCTGTAGGATGGATTTGATGCTATAAGCTCTTCTGGAGCTAATGAGCTTGCAACTTAAGGGATTAAGTACTTCTTGATTAAGTCCTTGCCATTTCTTAGCCTTTTTGCATCTAGGACTTGAGATCTAGACCTCTTGGTGGATCTTAACGGTTAAAGGTGGAAACTTTACCCATTTGGACGTTAAGAATGATCATATATGAACTTTGGGACTTTTGGAATTGGAGGATTCGACTTAACTCATTAGGATGTTTTGGATTCAGTTCCCATGGTGTGGCGACTTAGGGAAACACGACTGTTTTGTTGTTTGAAGGCTACGACGTGGCCAAGGATGGCCACGACATGGAGAGTTAACATTGGTCGTTAACTTTGACTTTTGACCTTGTTTTGGCTAGGTTTGACCTAGGGGTACTTTTGTTATTTTGATTAGTAGTTGTGTTTGGTCAATTGTATTTTAATAGGTGTTTGACTGAGCTGATTTGCGGAGCAGAGATCCGTTTAGCTATTTTTCCGTCTATTTGTGAGGTGAGTCTTCTTACCACCATAAATGGGTTGAAGGCACCAAGGTCGGCCCACTGTATTATATAAGTAGAATGTATGTTATTGTATGACTTTGACTTATGTGATTACATGATTTATGTATGGAGTTGATCTGGGCTCGAAGTCATCATAGACACGGGGTTGATACGGGCCCGATACAACTTATTGCTTTTATTTTGGGTTGATACAGACCCGAGGGTTGATACGAACATGACACAACCACGTGTTGTTATATCCTATGTGTATGTTGTATTTGATATTTTGGGAAGCTCACTAAGCTTTGTGCTTACAATTTTGTTTATGGTTTCAGGTACTTCTGGTACAAAGGGGAAGGGTCTGACCTGATCGCAACGCATCCACCCATATTTCGCGTTTTCTATAGGATTTGGATTTGTACTCTGATGATTTCTCTCATTTGTCATACTTTGTTGAGTTTGTTATGAGCATTTGATGGTTTTCAATTAAATTAAAAATGAAAATTTTATCCATGTTTTTGGGATGTTACATGGATCTTCAAATTAGTTAGCAACAAATGGTTTTTTTTGTTTGTTTTCCTTTCATACAATCATGAAAATATTTTCTCCAACATGATTGTGAAACCCTTTTTACTCCTCTTGAATTTGGTGACTTTGTGATAATTAAAATTAGATTTATAACAAAAAGTAAAAATCCGTATTTTTACTTTTATTGTCATTTTATAAGTATTTTTACAAAGAAATTTTTATTGAGTTACAAATTAAACCGACCCTCGTTGATTTGATCCCTTACCATTATAAATTATTTTAGTATGCATTTTTTAGGGTATTTATTTGTTGGTCTCGACAACCACAATTCATTTAAAAACTTTTGCACATGAACAGTGTGTTAAATTGGTATCCAGATATAAACTAATAATGTTACATCAAAATATCCCTAACGAAATAAAAAGTTTTCAAATGAATACTTATTTTATAAATAACAACTTTAAATACAATTGATAAAAAAATCAATAAAAATAACAATTCAAACTATAGAACAAAATATGTGGCATGTATCACATATCTTGATATCATATAGATAATTTAATACTATAATTAATAAGATTAAAAGTTATTTTATTTATTTTATAATAAACAGTCAAATAATAATTATTCTAATTAGTTTCCACCTTTCACATGGAAATTTCGTTCCCGCTAACAACTTTGCATTCCCTCCAAAATCCAAATTCACATGACTTCCAAAGTTCCAATCTCTGATACTCAATAAGAAGGGGGACTGAACGGACACGAATTGGTTTTGGAGATTAGAGCATTGTCAATTTTCAACAAGACATAACGGGGTGTTGGGTAATCTTGACATGGGTCATGGGTTTATTGGAGTTATGGGTATGGGTAAAAGGATAGTACTTGATTTGATTTATTTAATGGTTGAATAAAGGACTTTTGACCAAGTTTAATCTGAGAAAACGTGTTTGCATATTTGGTCATTGTTGTGTCCTTTTGTTTAGGAGTAGTGACTAGCTTTTAGGATGATATTGTTTCTTTCCGTTGGGTTTTGTAGGCTATTTATAGCCATTTGTTTTTGATCAATAAAGGTGGTTGAGTCCAATTAAAATAAAGTCTCCATCTGTTTTCTCTTTTTCTTTTCGTGTGTAGCAACAACAGGGAACACTTCCTAATTTTCATTCTTATTTGTTCAGGGGCTGTAGGGGCTGGTCCAACATTTGGTATCAGAGCCTTAGGCTCAACACGTGGGATCTGTGAAGAGGTTCTATGTGAACCTGTTGTTGTTGAGGTTCTGTGTGAGCCGAAGCTCTGTGTGAGCCGAGTTCAAAATCAAAGAATCTGTGTGAAGAGAGTTTTGAACAACAATGTGTGTGAGTTGAAGCAAATCCGAGTTCAAAAGCATGAAATATGTGTGATTGAGTGTTGGAGATCGATCTGTGAGAGCTGAAGGAGTTGAAGGAAAGTTGTGTGCGGAATTGAAGCCTTGGGTGAACCAAGAAGATAAGGAACCTGTGTGGTAAAGCTTACCTGTGTGAAGAAGCTAGTCAAAGGGAGAAAGAAGATCAGAAGAAGAAGAATTTTGTGCACCTGCAACTGAGTGTGGGTGGGTTAAAGAAAAAAAAATCAGAAATAACTCAGGTATGTGTGATCTGAATTGGTTGGTTCTGTACAAGAATAAAGGCTCAAGTTAAGGAAGATGTCAGCAACAAACCCGGGAGGATCAAGTCACGTTGTACCCGTGACCAGCCAAAGTATCCCACTGCAATGCCCCAAGTTAACAACTACAAATTATACAAGTTGGTCAATTATGGTGGAGTCGATCTTACAAGCATACGGCTTGTGGGAAGCGTTTAATCCGGAAACTGGAAAAGCGATTGAGGCAAAGAAAAATCTGATGGCAAGAGCATTTGTGTTTGAAACTCTACCTGAAGATATATTGCTTCAAGTGGCTAAGCATAACGATGCAAAAGATGTCTGGGAAGCGCTTCGTGTGCGGTATTTGGGAGCCGAAAGAGTTCAAAAGGCGAGACTTCAAACACTTAGAACCCAGCTAGATATGTTGAAGATGAAAGAGGGTGACACGATTGATGAGTTTTCGGGAAAACTTAGTGAGTTGCATCCAAATCAAGAGTCTTGGGTCTAGTTTGGAGGATGAGATAGTGGTAAGAAAACAACTAAATTCGGTTCCTAAGAAATTTTTGCAGATTGTTGCATCTATTGAACAATACTGAGAGATAGAGGACATGTCACTTGAGGAAGCTGTGGGAAGGTTGAAAGCATATGAAGAGAGAATCAAGGTTGTTGATGAAGATGAAAATGATCAAAATCAAAACAAACTCTTACTATCAAAAGAGGAATGGGAAGAGAGAACCAAGCGTGGTAACTCTAGTCAAGATCAATCTGGACAAGGAAGAGGTCAGGGTCAAGGAAGAGGTCGTGGTAGAGGTCGAGATGGCCAATTCAAAACTATGAAGATCGCAAGGAGCAAGGTATGTATCGAGATAAGCGACATATTAAATGCTATAATTGTCAAGAATATGGACATTATGCAGCTGAGTGTCCTAAGAAATTAAAAGAAGAAGAAGTTCATTTGACTTAAGATGATAATGAGCCAGCACTGCTTCGAAGAATCATATTGATGTCAAGATTAAGGGGTTGAGGGTTGGGTAATCTTGACATGGGTCATGGGTTTATTGGAGTTATGGGTATGGGTAAAAGGATAATACTTGATTTGATTTATTTAATGGTTGAATAAAGGACTTTTGACCAAGTCTACGTGTTTGCATATTTGGTCATTGTTGTGTCATTTTTTTTAGGATTTAGGAGTAGTGACTAGCTTTTAGGATGATATTTTTTCTTTCGGTTGGGTTTTGTAGGCTATTTATAGCCATTTATTTTTTATCAATAAAGGTGGTTGAGTCGAGATTAAAATAAAGTATCCATCTGTTTTCTCTTTTTCTTTTCGTGTGTAGCAACAACAGGGAACATTTCCTTATTTTATTTCTTATTTGTTCAGGGGCTGGTCTAACACGGGGATCATCGGAACTCGGAAATCTAAATTCAAAAGGAAGCGGAGCGACACCTAAAGGAATATCAGACGGAGATTGGAAATCGAATCGTCGGAAGAAGAGATGTTAAATTAAGAATTAGGTAGCAAGCCGAACGGTCATCATCGCAAAATCTAGGGTACATCTTCTATCCTCCTCTACTCTTATGCTCTTTTCATTGACCACCGATTATATATAACTCTTTCGTTCTATCTTATTCTCTTCTTATCTAGATTAAAAATTTGACAACGATGGTTGTATTTTCTTTCTCAGTCACCCTCAGCGCTACATTGATTGTAATCTAACTGTCGGTACATGAATGTAGACAGTTGAATCGTTGAGTCGCCTGCCCAGAAGCCATCCACAAAGGTAATAAATCTTCATAGTTTATGTTTTTACTTCTGAAAGGATGTCCTATGGCTACTGCCTATTTGTAGTTTGTTTGAAGGTATTTTGCAACAAGCCAATAAATCAGCACTACAAACAAACGTTTTGTCTGATTTTATATAATTATGTATTGTTTTGCAGAAACTAAACAGTAAAAGTTATCATGGTGAAGCTATGCTGGTTGGAAGGGCCAATGTTGGATTGTCCATTTCAGAATGGCCGATATATGAAAAAGACGACAATACCATCTACAAGATGTGCAAAATTACTTTGTGTTTAATATATATATATATATATATATATATATATATATATATATATATATATATATATATATATATATATATATATATATATATTAATTGTATAGTGGACCCTGATTGGCTTTCAGTTGCAAAAGGAGTTTGACAAGATTGATTTGAACCTTGTTATTGGCTAAAGGCTAACCACAAGCAAGAATTACATGTTGATACTCAAAAAATGTCTCTGGTTGAATAGAGGAGAAGATCAGGTAATATAAGTTGCACTAATATAATGTAGTGCACAACTTAAATTCATGTTTTTGGCGATTTCAGACAAAAACAACCTACTTTACAACTATAATTATTCCTGTTTTTTATTATAAAATATGCTAAAGAGATTGTTGAACGCAGATAAAAGATATTTTCGGTCTCGAGTTCGAAGAATCTTGAGGTAAATATACAGGAGGGTTAATTGAAAAAAAATAGCAATGTACTTTTGTTTACTTTTTTATAGCATCACACTTTCATTTATTATTATTACAACAATGAACTTTATTAAAGTTTTGCTATAATAGCAATGTCAACCTAATAAAAAGCAGTCTTTACAGAGAAATAGTGACTAGAGTTTTTTTCCTTAATCAACTCTTCGTTCATATTTTAGTATTACCTATTGGTATATTTAGTTGAATGTAGGTCGAAGTTGACCTAGTGGACACTCATTTCTCTTGCTATCACTACTAGAACTCATTCTTTCTATAACTTTAATGGTTCAGACTCCAACGAACAGGAAGAGGTAAAAATTTCTTGTTAAATCATTAGCTTGCTCCATACACGTTGGATTATCTCTAATTTATTTATGTTTTGTGTTATTCTAGTTTTTTTTTTGTTTGAGTATTAACCATTAGGCTTTTTTTTTAAACTTTTCTTCTAATACACCACTTTCCGTTCTTCAAAAAAAAAAGACTTTTGAGTTTAGAAAATTATCCTAGCACTAAAATGTAAATGGAACATTAAGTTTGGTTTCTATATCTCCAAAATAATATTATTAGTTTCACAAATCTGTTTGATTAAAATAATTTAACTACTTTACTATAATTTTTTTGTTGGATTCGTTTATTTTAGTCTTTACTTTGTTTTTATTCCTTTATATATTTTGAAAGCTGGTGCAATTTTAGTAATCTGGACAGAAGATTGCAGATTTAATCTCATATAGTTTGAGCACATTTGTTCCTTTTATTGTAAAAGAATTAGTTGATGTTTTGGTGGTTTGCTAATTATGTCAAATGAAGTTTATATGATATGTGTACTGTAAATACTAATGTACCTAACGTATTAAATAACATTTTGAATAATACAAACGATTGCTTAACAATGATAAAAATGTTACCTTAGTTCTGCCGATGCAAGAGAAATATAATTTATCGTTCAATTGATATTTGCAAGCACATCTGTTTTATTAAAAAAAATAGAAATACTTTCACAAAACAACATCTTATAAATGCCAACTAATAACATAAATAAAGAGTAGATAGGTAATTCTGTAACATAAAGAACTAGAAATGCTTTAACAAACCGAAACTTAGAAATGCAAACTAATGATATAAACAAAATAGCATAAGCAGAAGCGTAATCAGCATACCTTTGGAAAATGAAGTGACAGTTGATGAGGATACTGTAACATGCAAAAATGCTAAAGAGGTAATGGTCAAAATAATATATAATAGGAGTTTGTGGAAACCAGTAGAAGATACCGATTTCCACAAAATTTGGTGAGAATAATTATGGTGTTGAACTTGTCAAAGTTGTTATTACGTAGTCCTATAAAACCCGGTTGGTGCTCATTTGTGGGCTAAAAAAGCCCGGATTTTTGATCAGGGGCCTATGAACTCAAGAAATGGGTCATCTAAGGATAATAAAACCCGGCTACTTTTTTAAAACCCTGTCATATATGAAATGCCCCGATTTTCCCTTTATTATAATCAGTTTTTTTCAAAACCGGGTCCTTATAACTAGGGGGTCCCATATACTTTTTTTGTAGTAGTATATTACTATGAACAAATTATTTATAAATGCAACACATCTTTTTTATTATAAATAAAAGAAATAGAGTTGTTACTAATTTATAGCAATGAACAGGTGGACTAAGTACTCTCATATTGCTTGCTAACTACTTTAAACTCTCTATGTTCCTATTATACATCATTGTGAGTGTCATGGTGAGATACATTATGTGGGTGTTGTATGTTGGTGTTCCTATTATTTTTTTAGCCTAACTAACACTTAACCTCCAAATCTTACTTGGGTAACAACCATTGGCTAACACATCCATCAAGAGTGAAAAGTGAACTTTGAATAATAGTTTATATAGATAATCATCGTTTACTCGTTTTCATTAAAACGGTCATTCAAGATTGACTATTCACTCTCGGTGGATTTGTGTTATCCGACAGTTGTTACCATGTGAGGTATGGAGGTTGTGTGCTACACAGGTTAAAGAACATAAAAGGAACGGACAATCACATTGTCAGAGGAGCACTCACAAAGTTTATTTATTTATTTATTTGTTTTTTTAATAATCTGCATGCAGAAGCATCAGTGATTTGAATGGAAATATTGTAAGTCATTATATGCTTTAGAAATCTACTAAAAAGTTGATAAATTTCAAGATAGGATTATTTTTATGTTCAAGAACTTTGGACAAATTTGCAGGATATTGAGAAGCTGTAGAATAACCTAGATGATTCCTGATCAGAAATGTCAAAATTGAAGCATCTGTAATAATTCTCCCTTTTCCATGTCTTGATTGATTAAAGCCTATTTTAGACTATATCCATTAGCATCATCTTGAGCATTTCATTGTGGTTATCTTTAGTGGCTGTTCAAACTTCAAACATCCTGATATACTCTATCTATATTCACACACATAGATCTCAGTTTCAACAAGTTGGAGGGAGATATACCAGATTTAAAAGAACTAGATCCGGAGAAAATGTAACTAAGATGAACATTTTACCTTTTCTTCCCATGTATCATTTGCTTCAACTGATTTTCTTACTTACTGATAATTTGATCCTCAATATTCATACCAATATAATATATATTTCCTTCATAAGAGTACGATTCAACAAAATATGGATAAGTTTATATTGTTCCTTGCATAGTAATGAAAAACATACTCGAGTAATTATTGAAAAGGAAAATGAAATAAAATAGAGAATTATAAATCCCATTAACTATTTTGTGAAATGATTAGGTACTTGACTGGAAACTCACTGAACGAAAGTATTCTTGCATGGATCAATAGTGGAGATACTACACAGTACGTTTTCAGTTTTCCTTTCTCATTTCCGAAATAGTTTTTCATGTGACATAATTTGATGTGTTAGATGCATGGTTGCAGTCGTGGTGATATACAATCTATAAATATCACCTGAATATGCTCTTCTTAATATGTAATTTTACTCGCAATAATTAATTCATGAACGATTGATATGTGATTGTGATTATGAAATATTGAGATAGATCTTTCGTACAATAAATTCAACAAAGAAAGTGTGCCCCCATATTGTCATGAAACTTTGTAAGTTTAATCTTTCAAATAATCTTGTGATTTTTATCCTGTCCATATAATATTCTAAGGATAAAGTATATGTCATCTTTCATTTATTAGGAACTTATTCAGAAGCTATGTTGCTGCAAACAACTCCTAAGCTTATTATACCCATATGTGTTATTTAGAAAAAATAATATTTTCTTATTTCATGGCATAAGCACCAAGTTTAATATTCTGATCTTTGATTCAATGTAGAGACCTTGGGAAGTGCCTTAGTCACTTTCCTTGTCTAAAGGGTGAGAAATATACTTTCCTACGATCTTTCATTCCAATTAGTTTGAACATCAAAACCAAAGTTGACTGATTTTTTGTTTTCTAGAGCACTATTCGGTTTACCTTAATTTTGGGACTGGTGTGGGAGAAGTAATTCTGACTTGGTCCTGTGTTGACCTTGTCAATAGAAATAAGTGGCTTAGTTGCCACCACTTTAGGAGAACACGTTTGTTGCAGTTTAACTTTGCAGTTTTTTTTCATTTGTCCTCTATTTAAGTATTGTAGCTTTCCTTTGTTTAAAGTATTTTAGAAATAAAAAGTGGAATCTTTTCTGCACCTCTGTTACTTACTCTGTTTGGGTGTAAACTTTCCTTGGTCTAGAAAAAGGCCTGAACCAACACTTGGTATCAGAGCTTTCTAGTTTATGCCCAAATACATAAGATACGATAGCATGACAGACTCTAGCCAGCAGGTCACAAAAGATAACGGTGGAGTGTCGTTCCAGTGCCCACTGTTGACTTTTACAAACTATACCACATGGGCAATCAAGATGGAGGCCATAATGGATGCTCAAGGTGTTTGGGAAATGGGAATCCATAGAACTAACAGTCGGAGTGACTGTGGACGAGAAGAAGAATAAGATGGCATGAGCCTACATCTTCCGAGCAATACCAGAGGATATTCTCATGCAGGTAGCCAAGAAGAAAACTGCAAAAGAAGTGTGGGAATCATTGAGAATTCGGTACATGGGTGCAGATCGAGTGCAAAAGGCGAAATTGCACACACTCAAAAGTGAGTTTGATGCACTGAAGATGAAAGAAGGAGATTCCATAGATGAATTCGCAGGGAAGTTGAGTGGGATAAATTCGAAATACATCAGCCTTGGTGCAACAATGGAAGATAGTACTTTGGTGAGGAAATTGCTTGATTCTGTCCCAGAAAAATTTCTACAACTTGTGGCCTCGATAGAACAGTCTTCAAACATGGATACAATGCCATTTGAAGAAGCTATAGGCAGACTCAAAGCCTATGAAGATCGACTACGAGTTCGTGGTGAAAACTCGAATGCTGAAGCGGGTTTGTTGCTGACTCGATCTGAAGGGCAAATGGGTCAAAGATCACAAAAGGGCTCTTCTAGTACATCAGGAAGAGGTCGTGGATCTCCTAATGAAAGGGGAGGTTGAGGAGGCTATCGAGGAAGAGGTTCAAGGGGTAGAGGCGGTCGAGGCAATCATCAATCATCCCGGGATACAAGCAATGGTCGAGGAAAGGGAAGAGACAAAAGCCACATAAAGTGTTTCAATTGTGACTTGTTTGGATACTTTGCATCAGAGTGCTCAAATCCCAAGAGGAAGGAAGCTGATGTCAATCTAACACAGGTGCAAGAAGAAGATCCTGCTCTTCTACTAACTGTATGGGGTGAGGATACGGATAACTGGGTACTGCTGAATGAAGATAAAGTCTTTCCAGTGACAAACAAGAATGAGAAGGACACATGGTATTTGGACAACAGAGGAAGTAATCACATGACAGGTATACGAGATTACTTTGCAGAACTGGATGAAAGAATAACTGGGCAAGTGAGATTTGGGGATGGCTCTAAAGTGCAGATCAAAGGAAGAGG